ATAATTCCTAACATCAGATTTAAATATAACTGATGAAGTCATGTGTTTACTTCCCATAATGCCTTTTCACTGGGGAAAAGATTGTCTGCTGCAGTAAAATGTTTATATTAGTGTCTTTTATGAGTTGTCCCTTGTATACATAATTGTTTGCAGCGTCATAAAAAATTAAGTCCCTACAAAGTGAAAATTACAGGGTTTGTGGGGGTGCTGACCACCTATTTTCCACACTCCAACTCTGATCTGTAAACAAAGTAAATGTGTTCAACCATCTACACGCCCAAAAGTTTGACCACAAATGAAGTCATTGCAGGGTAACGAGAATCTGTCCGTGCATTCAATTAAAACCCGGGTCGCTTATAACTGCCTTCTTTTAAAACTTGTTTTCGTGTTAAACTGTGTTTTTGGCACGACAAACAAAAACAAAGCTGATTTGGGATAAAACAGTCATTACTAGACATGAAATTGAATCATGTATAAAATTACGAGATGTCACATTTTTTTACACTCCCTTTTAAATAAAAAAAAATAAAAAAAATGCATGAATCCAAACATGCAGTTCAAATAAAAATAATAACAGTAAAAATATTGTTCCCTGAAATAAAAAACCCAGTACTCACATACCAAAGGTTATCTGTTAGCTTTAAGATTATATGATAAAGATTACTCTCAGCTACTAACATACCAAGTTTTAGCTGACTGTTTTTATAAATTTACATAGTGTTACTTCTTTTTGTGTTTGCTATGGTTGATTAACTGTGATGGCCATCTTTAATTGGGTTGACCCCAAAAGTTAATTACTTGTAGAGGTACACCCAATGATTATTTCCTGAACGGTTCATTAAGATCCATACCAGTGTATATGGGATATTTTGCTAACAGACACAGCCTCCATCTATTTAATAATATTGATATCATGTTGAAAGCACACATCTTCTTCATAACATTTTGTAGTTTTAGATTGTCGACGATTGCTGAAGTGAACAAAAGAGGAAAAATAATCTCATGTGCTTTTTACTGTTTATTTATTCCAAAAATAATTTAAAGTCTTCTTACAAACTATCTTAAACTTTCCAACTAAGTTAAGTCAGGTCCTCTGGACGGTCTCTTTTTGTTGAAACGTCCAAAAGACTTCGTCAGTCCGAGGAGCCACAACAAACTCAGTCTTATAAGGATCACCTTCATATAGTAGATCAAACAGTTTGATGGTGCTCAGGTGGTTTTTGGAGTCCGCCCTCTCCCCCACCGACTCATCTGAGACAGCCATGGCCAAAGTGGTTCAAAACATCAAAGTTCATGCTCAATAATCCAGGTAAAAAATCCAACAAATTTAAATCAGGTCCTCTGGACGGTTTATTTTGATTGAAATGTTTCGTCTTTCATCCAAAAGAATTCATCAGTCCGAGGACTGATGAATTCTTTTGGATGACCTCAGACTGATGATGCATTTTGGATTACCTCGGACTGACGAAGTCTTTTGGATGACCTCGAACTGACAAAGTCTTTTGGATGACCTCGGACTGACAAAGTCTTTTGGATGACCTCGAACTGACAAAATCTTTTGGATTACCTCGGACTGATGAAGTCTTTTGGATGACCTCGAACTGACTAAGTCTTTTGGCTGACCTCGAACTGACAAAGTCTTTTGGATGACCTCGGACTGACAAATTCCTTTGGATGACCTCGGACTGACAAATTCCTTTGGATGACCTCGGACTGACGAAGTCTTTTGGGTGACCTCGGACTGACTAAGTCTTTTGGGTGACCTCGGACTGACAAAGTCTTTTGGATGACCTCGAACTGACAAAGTCTTTTGGATGACCTCGGACTGACGAAGTCTTTTGGATGACCTTGAACTGACAAAATCTTTTGGATTACCTCGGACTGATGAAGTCTTTTGGATGACCTCGAACTGACGAAGTCTTTTGGCTGACCTCGAACTGACAAAGTCTTTTGGATGACCTTGGACTGACAAATTCCTTTGGATGACCTCGGACTGACAAAGTCTTTTGGGTGACCTCGGACTGACTAAGTCTTTTGGATGACCTTGGACTGACGAAGTCTTTTGGATGACCTCGGACTGACGAAGTCTTTTGGATTACCTTGGACTGACAAAGTCTTTTGGATAAAAGAAACGTTTCAACTACAATAAACTGTCCAGAGGGCCTACCTTAACTTTGTTGGATGTTTTACCTGGATTATTGAGCACAAACTTTGAAGATCTAAAAGTTTGTGATTTTTGTCTAAACTCAGATGTCACATATAAAACCAACTTTTTGTGGGTGATCTGCTTGTTCTTTACACATGTTGTACATTTTGACTGATTTCTTTCCTTTGGCAGAACAAACTCTACTTAATCTTAAGGAAACATATTGGACTGGTGCGAGCAACCTCATTCTGCTCTACAATAATGACTGAAAGTCCTGTCTAGATTAAAAACGTCTAAATTAAGTTCAGCTCTGATACTGCGACTGGGAACAAAACGTGCACAAAGCACAAGCAGGAAGAGAAACCCTCCATTAGTCTTCACTGATGACTGATATGATAGCAAGCTCATTCAAACTGCAAATTTTACACATGATTGAGGCTCGATTGGATGTAATGAAACGGCCTTTCCTGAATATTGCACTTGAGTGACTGTGTGACCACCGGCACAATAGCTGGCATTATAGTTCTGGACCTTCAAACTTCATTGTACCAGGCCCGCTGACTTATTATTGCAGAACTCAGAGTGAACTTGCGGCTTTGGGTTTCTTGTCGTTACGGATGTGACCGTTCTCCCCACTGGGAGCAATTCATAGAGTGTTAATTGACCACCGCAATCACTCAACAGATTTATGGGGAAGTCTGAGGGGTCACAGGAGGCTTTCAGAAGAGGCTGTCCGGGGAACGAGGCTCGCCTCAGAGCTGCAGCTGGGGGAATTTCTGGCCTTTGGATGTACAGAAAATTCCCCACTTTCCTACAATTATCGCAGAGGAAATGTACATTATGGGGAAAAATTACACTTAAATGGCTCGGGCAGAAAAAAAAAAGTCACGTTGTGGCTGTTTCTGTGCTGAATTTTGTTTTTCATTACACTTACACATTTTATAGCCACTATTTTGGAAAAAAAAAAAACTGTATAAAAATGAAAGGCATAGCATTCCTTGAAGGAATACATCGCTCGCTGCCTTTCCTGCCAAAGTTTAAAGCCCATATGATGAGAACTATCAGAGATAATAACATTAAAATGATCCAAGATGTCACAACCAGATTATGTGAGGGATGACTCAGCTGCTACCACACCAAATTTTAGTTCAATATCTGTAAAACCGGCAGAGTTATAGATAGATAGATAGATAGATAGATAGATAGATAGATAGATAGATAGATAGATAGATAGATAGATAGATAGATAGATAGATAGATAGATAGATAGATAGATAGATAGATAGATAGATAGATAGATAGATAGATAGATTTACCAGAGAGAGACCTGTTTTAGACAGAGTCAAGTACAGACAATAATAAACTATAGTAAAAATGCAATTCAAATAAAAGTAGTGACATAAAACAAGATAAAATACTACAAATAACATATTTAGGGTTTTGTAGGTAAAGGGATCAGCATTTAGCACCAATTTCAGATGGGATAAGTCTGATTGAATGATGTCAAATGCAGACTGTAGAAGCTGGAAAACCTTGGCAACTGTATTAGCTCGGCAATAAACAACCGTATTGTCGGCACAGAGATGCAAGAATGCGTCAGGAATGTTTTGACCTACTTTATTTATATAAACTGTAAAAAGAGTGGGCCCTAAAACTGAGCCTTGTGGCACACCATTAATTCAATTAATTTAGTGACCGTTGGGCAGCTCAAGTACCATTATGTCGAACACATTGCCACCGACCTGAGAGATAGTTTGAGAACCAGCCAACAGTGTAATCTGAGAAGCCAATATCTGAGAGCTTGTGGCGTAAGATGTAATGATCTACAGTATCAAAGGCTTTGGACAGGTGCAGTACAATAATCCTTAGCATCCAAAGCTTCATCAACATCATTAAAAACCTTTAGCAAAGCAGTCGTGCTGTGTTTCCTAAAACCAGATTGATGGGAACATAAAATATTAAGAGTCTTGAGTATTTAGCAGTTTTTCTAAAACCTTGGATAAAATACAGAGTTTGGTCGATAATTGTTCAGTAAGACAGATACTTCATTGATTCCAGGGGGGAAATTCGAGGCATCCCGTAGTGTGTTCTACTTACTGTATACAGAAAAAAAAAAAACACATATGCAATAACCAAACCAATGTCTATCAGCTGTGGCAGCCATCTTGAATTTCATTGACTTCAAAAGGTTGAGCCATGTTGAATGATATGATAGGGACTCAGATAGCTCGGTGTCAGTGATGCAGTCTTATATAATCCTGAGGCTGCAGCTCTGAGTCCAGGTTGTGTCAGAAATCTTTCACGCGAGTTCGCTCGCTGCGGTGACCCCCTGCAGAAGGGAGCTGCTGAAAGTAAAAAAATCAGACGGCTCATGATAGACTGTGGCAACGGACTAAAACATTGCACACAGACAAAGACATAAATCTCCACCTTTGCCCTAATCTATTTGCTCAAAAACAACCGTGACCCAGTTTGCACGTATTTGTCATCCAATCGTACAGATGTTTAGGCTTCACTGGAGGAGGGGCTGCAGCGCACACAGACAGGGCATGCACAGTGGGGCCCATATGGCCAACCATAATCAGCTTTAAACAACAGATGAATGAAACAAGTGTGTATAAACAGTGCCTCAACATGGCTGCTCAACTTTAAATTCTTTATTTAGAACCAGTGTGCAAATATTAACATAAACTGTGGATGTACTGGTTTTTAATGACGAGGCCGGAAAAAGGTTTTCCATATTTATTTGAATCTCCCGGTGCAGTGTGTTAGAACAAAAGTGTCCCTGCATCTGGACACTCTTAATGCTGTTTAATCCCCTTCCTGTCAGCCAACAACGCTTGTCATCATGCCAGCACATTACCTACAGAGCCACACGTCTACCAATAGTTTCCTCCTCGTGCTCTTCAGTGCACGCTCCTGGAATGGCGATGTCCCTGCAACTTTGTGCACCGAGGTAAGAGCAAACCTTGTCTTTGTGATGAATTAAAAACACCAGCGTAGCTTTGACTCGAACACATTTTTTTCTTCTTCTTTCTGTGAAAGGAATGGTTTGAAAATTGCTCCTACAATTACCATGAAGCAGTTGGTGTGGGGGGCGGGGATCCTTAAAGCGTGCCAAATAATTTTTACTGTGATTACACGATAAGCTTTTGAAGAAATGTACGACTGTCTTCCAGTGAGAGTTGCCCGGGCACTATGATTTATGAGGGCACTTTAAGTCTGTGTTTTGCTGCATGGAGCCTGAATGGTGTGTGGAGTCTAAATACCGTACGCAGAAAACTAATGGGTTTGTGTTGCATTGCTAAATAATGTGAATGAGCTGCTTGTGAACCTATTACAACCATCAGGGGCAGCATGAGTGCCAGCTGGCGCTAACTGACAAGTTTGCACAGTTTCTCTCTAATCACTGGAGCTGATTAGACGCATGTTGTCTCGTTAAGCGCGGCTCCTAACGTTCTTGTCTTGTGGAACTGTGTAATGGAACAAAGGTAAACACAGCGCGTCTGACTTGATGTCTACAGACAGCTCGGGAGGAGAGACAAGCCTGTGGAGTGGTTTGCATTTGGGTGGAGACGTGAGCATTTACAGTAGAACTGCAGACAAATATGCACGGACCCCACCCATCGGCCCGCGATCAACTCCTCTGTCATCACTCTCTTTATCATGCAGACAGAGATTGATGTCGAAGGATCAGATTCCTTGCGATTTATATTGCAAAAGAAAGTCCCCATTATTGTAAAACATTAGGGAACTTGAAAGGTTTCTGTCGAGTCATGTGATACTTTTAAAGTTATTCATTAAAGTTACCAGGATGCTATGATTTATACACAAAAATAAAAGCAGTAGTTGCCAATGCATCGCCTTTCTTCTGCAAACATCTAATCAAGTTGGACATTTTTTGCAGGCTTGCAGTTTTGAGGTTGGTTGAATCCCGTTTCGGACCTTTTCTCATGGTTTTTCTCGAAGCGTTCTGCAGATGACTTATTTGTTTTATGTTTTATGACTAATCAGCGATGAATGAGCACAAAGAACAAAAAAAAAAAAAAAAACAGACCTTCAAAAACCATTCATGTGAAGTTTGAGAAAGGATTTTCTCTGCGCTGTAAATAAAAATCATTTGGATCACACGTTAACCCCACTGTACATAATATTTGATTCTAAAATCCTACTTTTTTTTTTTTCGTCTGAAGTCACTGTGATCTACCTACACACCCATAAAATCCAAACCACATTTCTTTTATGACTCCACAGTAAAATGGATGAGGGGGAATTCTGAGCGATGATCTGAGCGCGTTTTTTTTTTTTTTAAACAGAGAATGAATGTTGGTGAATATGCTGCAGAGGACTTCAATTAAAAATCTGCATGGTCTGTAATATATATATATATATATATATATATATATATATATATAT